GTAAAAAAATATTATAATCATTTAATGTTATTAAAGGTAAAAAACAAAATTGAAATTTATTAAATAAATATTAATTAAAAAATGTGACCAAAAATTAAAAAATTAAAAAAGATAAATTGATCAATAAAATTAAAAAATTTTAATCCGTTAGGGTTTGATATAAAAAGTTACATAAATTAACTTTTTCAATCCGCTAACGGTTTAAACTCCAATCGTTATTCGTTAATTTCAAACCGCTAAATAAAAATTTTACCAAACACTTTACTTGTAATAGTTTTGAAATATATAAATTTATCAAACACCTATATTTAACAGTTTAGGTAAAATCATTAACCGTTATCCCAAAACTATTATACTAAACAGGACCTTAGTGTACATGTACAAAGAAAACAAAAAAATCGAGACGTTTTAACATTTAATTGCGTGAGACATATTGTAAGTTTTAGTCAAGTCCCTTTCCTTATGTGATTGTAATTAGTTGTCTTGAAATGTTTAATGATAGGATATTCTGATTTTCTGTTATGTATGGCTGATATGTACTCCTGTAGTTATCTTAGTTTTTCCATGAAAAAAAAAATAGTTATCTTAGTTTAAAAATAAAAAATAAAAAATCTTCATTCACTCGGATGTGAGGAACAGCAATAAAGCACATTTTTAAGTTGTAGGGTTTGTAAACGACAAAAACTTGAATGCCATAGCAGTAGTGGCCAGAGAGTGATGATGATGAACGTACAAATTCAGTCGTTCAATTTGCAGACGTCAATGAACTTCTGAACAGCATTATGGTACTGAGTTCCCTGTGAATAAAAAAAAGAAAGAAAAAAAAAAGGAGATTCACAATATCACATATTTGTCAGCGGAGTTGGTTGCAAAGAACCAAGCTACCTATTCATCTCTTATCTAGATGTGTTTATCAAAATGCTTTCAACCAAGTGAAATGACTAAAGATCAAGTTTCAGTTCTTGCAAAGTGAATTTTGTGCCTGCATACCCAGTAAATAATCAATAATTGCGAGGGAATTTGGGATAGAGAAGGCCTACCCCTTTTGTGTTTTGAGAAGTTGGAAAACATGTATGGCAAAATGCGGCGTAGCTACAGCCTTCCTTAGTTCCTAATATTTGATGGGTATTTACTATTTAATCAATTGGAATGCAAGAATAAGCAAGATGCTACCTCCCAGTATAGTTGGTTGCAATCCATGCACTGCCAAAACTCTAAATTCTTGTTAAACAAGCAGGTGGGAATTCTTTGGAAACCCTTTGCAGCTTGAATAGCTTCCTCTGTTGACAGAGGCTTTTGGATAAACCTCCCATTGCATTTGGTGCACCTGGACATCAACTGATCCTCACTAATTTTCAATTGGAAAGTCTGTATTACCTGTGAAAAATTCGTCTACTTTAGCTTCTAAAATCACTGACCACACTTGATTATAAAGCTTGAATGAAATGCAATCATACCTCGAGCAGCTGTTCATTTTTCAGAAGGCTCTTCACCTTGTATATTTGATTCTGTATCAAATATTGATGTCTTAACAACTTCGCATCTCGTGTCAAAAGCACTCTGTTCTCCTTGTATGCTTGATCTATTAACTCCCTAAGTACAACAGAAAGAAGAAAGTGAAGTCTTTAGTTCTCTCTTAAAAAATGTTTAGAAACAAAGTAACAGAACACCAGATTGTAAGATAGTAAGTTAGTAACAAATTTAATTAAATGAGAAAGACCTGGGTTCTGGCTTTTTGGAAGAAGGAATTGCGGCATCTATCCCCACACAGCGTAAATGTTTTGCCAAGCCTTCAACCTAAGCAAGAACCTGGTTAAGCTCCCCAATAACTCTATGAAGAAATATGGCATAGACAAACTTGCAAATCACAGTGCGATATGATAACAATTCAAAGTAGTCCTTGAATGATGCGGAGTTATTAGCAGGAAATGAAGGTTAGAGAAATTTTCTTCTGGGTCACCAAAAGTTTTAGATTGACATGTGAAAGCTTAGTTTTTGATGGTTAAATATTTTAAAAAAAAATTAAGATGTGCAAATATAGCTAGCCACTTACCATCACATCACACAAAAATTTGGGACATCCATTACCACCCAAGGACAGATCCCATGGTGGTGGACCTTGCCAGTCACCAAAATTCTGGAGCTGCTTTTCACTAGAAACAGCAACAACAGCTGACCGCCTTCTCCTTTTCTTTTTGGAAGTTCTCAGTTTTCTGTCAGATTCTTGCAACAAAATTTTGTCTCCATATTTTCTTACTATCTTCAACAGGGATTCCTCCATAGGTTTGGTATCTCTGCATTGCATCCTGCAAAATATCTCTACTCCCTTGGCTATTCTTTGATAATATTCTGAAGAAGCAGTAGCTTGGATAATATCCACAGCTTTACAAAATGTGATCCCAGTAAGCTTATTACCAACATCAGGTGTATGAAGAATTTCCTTTAAACCTAAGGTAACGTTAGAAGAATGTAGGCCAATAACTACCTTACGAGTACTCCCTGCATAATATGCCAAAACTATGTTAACTACCAGGCTATATAACATTTAAAGCCCAAAGCATTAGCAAAACTGAATAAACCTTTCAAACTAAAGGGCAATTAGATATGCAAAATAGAGAATTGCAACCTTTGTAAACTCTGAAAGGTATGCACATGCTGCATTGCCTGTAGGAGAACAAACAGGAATTTCTGCTTGAAGCAGAAAGCAGAGTATTCCAGTAGACAGGGTTCTATAATGGGGCAACAAATCTCTATTAAGAAAACTACGTCTCAAAAAGGAAAAAATTGTTTCAACCTAATCTTTTGTTTGTCTAACAGAATATCTTTTTCCCTGTCAACTGAAGCATAGTTGTGAAAGTCCTTGGAAAGATATCTGATCTGCAGTTAGGCAACTTAATCTACAAACATTTTGCTCAAGCCAAATACTATTTGAAGGTTGAATATTGTCTCCTAAGAAAAAATGTGTAACAAGATTTACTGTGTCCCCAACATTTTGCATAAAAGTACAAGCATTATTTACAAAATGCTGGAATCAAAGTAATAAAACCCAAAATTTTCAAGAACCACACACCTTCCTTTAGAACCTGGGCCTGAAAGACTTCAAATATTCCAAGCAAACAGTGAGCATCCATAGCTGCATATATTTTTTGCTCTTCTGTAAGAGGACGATGTGACCAGTCACTACATTGAAGTTCCTAAAAGAGATTTGTATATTACATTAACAATTGGCTGGTATAACTTGGAGTAATTGCAATGTAAACCCATTGAACCACATGAAGGTAGTTTACCAATTACATTTGATACTAAGCTTACATACAAATCCTATTTCCTATTCATGAATCATATGAAGGCTAGAGAAATGGAATTGTATACAAAGAAAGAGTTGGAGATTTCTAGTTCCAACCTCTAAAAGAAAAAGGTGGAGACTTTAAAGAAAAAATAGTTAATAATATAGTTTCAACTCGTCAAGATATCGAATTCTTACTTCAAAAGACAAAAATCAAACACAGATTATTCCTTCATTCTGAAAATTCTTTGCTTTTCAATTCTTAGAAGTAAGAAAGAGTGATATCCCTTTTCTTCATCATCATTGCTTCATCGGCAGTTATATTTATGAAAGCCTATTTCAGTCTAGTCCTACATACAACTCAAGTAAATCAATGAAAACTTTTGAAGAAGTGCCGAATTAATACAAAAACGCCAGATAGAAAGCAATGATGGTATTCCAATTAACCAACTCCATCAAATAAATAAATTCATAAGGATGAATCAGTAGCCATAAATTTCATTAAACAATAAATACTGGGTATTAAAGAAACATACCTTTGAAAGGGAAATGCCCAATACTTCTTCACAGATAGTAGCCAAACTCTTTGTTTGCTTTGATGTCTTCTTCCCTGGTTTGTGTAGCAGAACATTGTAAATGTTTGTGATGTCCAAATAAGGCTCCACCTATCCCAATTTCAGACAGTAACTATGAATCAAGCATTATGGAGGAATACTCAAAAAATCCCACATCCAACATTTTCTCAATTCAACCAAAAAAAAAAAAAAAGAGAAGAAGGAAATTTGGAGATAGAAACACACTCACTCGATCAAACCCAGGATCACATCCTTGTGCACAGAAAGTAGAAGACAGGAAAATCAAATCTTGCTTGAACCTGAACCCAAGTTTCAATATATCCGGCGAAACAAACACATCTTTCAACAATTCCCAGATCGAAGATAGAGGGATTGAGGCGAGGTCAATCAGGAAAACTATCGACTCGTCCGAGTTGTCGCCGAGTCGAGTTCGAGTTTGACAGGCAATTTGCAGGAGGGAGACTGTAGGGAAAGCAGATCGTTGGGAGCGAAGGGGCTTCCATTCGGCGTCGAGCCCGATGACCGAGGAGCGAGTTAGAGCCCGAGTGAGGTGAGTGAACTCGGGAGAATCGGTGCAGGAGACAAGGTGGATATGGACGGGACTTGGGATCCAGCAATCCATTGTAAGAAAACCGTTTTCGCGGGTTGGGAAATCTCGAACATTTTTTAACAAAGCTTGTTTCATTGGGCCTTGACCCAGCCTCTGAATTGCGCTGTATAAATGGGCTAGGCTACTCCAGGCTCTTAGCCCAAATTGTGCACGTTTTTTTATTTTGCAAAGTCAAATAACTAACCTAATAAGTGGTTTCCAATTGGGTCATTTCATATGATTTATTGGGTTGAGAAATTTTAAGTTCTAGTTTAAATGAGTAGATGTATAACCTATTTATATGAGTTTTTAATCAAGTAAAGTAGACTTAACTTATTTTAGAATTTATTTAATGAAAATTTAACATTTTATATAATTTTCTTATTATTCTTCAAAAAAGTTTAATATTTATTATTAATTAAAAAAATATAAATTAATCTTAAATATAAAAATTTAGTAAATAATAGCTATTTTAAATTTTAAATTTTATCTTTTTATTTAAAAATTACAATTAAAAATATATTTAATTAAGATTTTAAACTTTAAAAATAAATTATTTTTAATATGGTCACATTAGATTTACCCGACTTGGCCTAATTGGATTCTAGTTTCAATTTGAGTCATCTTGAGTTTTGAGTTAATTCTTAAATTCAAAACCCAACTTATGATAGATGAATTGACTTAAATCTTTAAGTTAGGTTTAATTTTGTTAAGTCTAACTTAAACCTCTATTTGGTTTAATAGTAAGAAACAACTAATAATTGCAGATGTTAGTTAATAAT